TGCACCCATGTGGGCAGTGTGGGGCTGTCACGTGACGAAGGGTGTGCACCCGCGTGGGGCAGTGTGGGGCTGTCACGTGATAAAGGGCGTGCACCTGCGTGGGTAGTGTGGGGCTGTCACATGACGAAGGGCGTGCACCCGCGTGGGCAGTGTGGGAGAGCCTTGGGCCTGGGGTCAAGAGCCCTGGATCTGGACTCAGATTCCACTTGCGGTCTGTGCTTGGTCAGGCGTGTTCTCCAGCCCAGCCAGTTCCCAGTGTGTGAGGTGGGCTGCAGCAGACCAGTCCTGAGACCCTGCCTCTCACTGCTGTCTCCTGCCTCACTGTGCTTTGTGGACGTGAAGTCCTCTGTCTGTGTTTCCTGCTAGAAAACTCCAAGCCCGGGGGGCTGGGGTCCTGGTGTCTCTAGCTCTACAGGGAGCCGTGTGGAGAGGGAATGAGGAGCTGACAGGCCACAGGGCTCGTCCTGAGACCTGCTGTGGCACTGGTGTCTGGTTAGACCTCACTGTCCACCCACCCTCCGTCCTTAGGTCCCTGTTCTGTCTACTCCATCCCCATTTCCTGCCTTGGAGACCGAGGTCACAGAACAGGTATAAGATGACAGTTATTCTGTACTGTGTGTACTTTCTACTGGCTAGTTCAGTTCTTTTCCGCTGTTTGTTGAAACAGTCTCATGTAGTTCACACTGGCTTCGAACTCACTGCAGTTCTCCTGTCTCAGCCTCCCGGGGTCCTAGGAGGCTTGACTGTCCTTAAAGGCCTATATTTCTTCTTCTTTTTTTTTTTGAGGCAGGATCTTGCTCTATAGTTCAAGCTGGCCTTGAACTCATGGTGATCCTCCTGCCTCAGCCTCCCGAGTGCTGGGACATACTTATTTGACTCTGTTACAAAATAGTCTCATGGAGACCCTTGTGTCCTTTTGCGGCCCATCCCACGCTTCCCACGTCACGGAGGTTGGCACACACCCTGGCTTTTAGAAAGGTGCCCTTGCTAGTGTGCCTCATGCGATAGCATTGGCATAATTAATTTCCCTTCGTCAGAGAAAAAATTTAATCAGGGTAGGCATTTAACCATAAGAAAGACGTTTTAAGTTCCAAAACGTTTTCATCAAGATAGGTGAGTGCGCTGCTCACTAGTATTTTTGTAGAACTTTCTTTGTAAAAGAGACTTTGGCCGCCCTGGCTGATGATCACAGCCGTTGACTGAGCCGGAAGTTTGGCCTCGGTCTGCTGCATGGGAGTGTCCTGGTGCTGCACAGCCCAGCCAGCTCGGCTGCAGGACGAGAGTGCAGGAGCAGGGCGGCTGTGCTGTGTGTTCGCCGAGCTCGGGGACCTGCAGAAATGGGCTGCTGCGGCTGGGGTTTGTCGGGGAGGAGGAGCGTCTGCCCTGAGCAAGTGATTGTCTAGGAGCCTCCCTGGCTGGGCAGGGATAACTTGGGCCTAGTTCACATCACCTCAAGTTACCTTTGAAATCGCAGCTGACAGAAATGCACCCCCCTGGTGGCCACACAGAGAAACACAGACTGGAGAGGCAGCACACAGGTGCTCGTGGTAATCCCAGCTACTTGGGAGGCTGAGGCAGGAGGATCACTTGAGCCTAGGAGTTTAAGAACAGACCAGGAACATAGTGAGACCCTGTCAGAGAGAGAAAGGGGGTTCAAGGGGTTGACATCAAGCTGGGTGTGGTGGCACACGCCTCTAATCCCAGCACTCAGGAGGCTGAGGCAATAGGATCACTGTAAGTTGGAGGCCAGCCAAGGCGACATAAGAGACCCTGCCTCAAAAAGCTAATAATAATAATTTGGCCCAGGTGGTGATGAATGTGGTGATCAGTTTGGTTGTGATCACCACAAGACAATTAACACATGTAATATCACATCTTACACCTTAAATATATGAAAGCTTCATTTGTCCATTAAATATTTTGAAATTTGAAACCAAAAAACTGAAATTTCGAATGGCCCCTCCCCGCCTGAGTGGCATGGGTCTCACCAAGTTGCCCAGGTTGGGCTCAAACTTGTGGTCCTCCTGCCTCAGCCTCCCAGAGTGCTAGGATTACAGGTGTGCACCGTCACATCCAGCCGCAGAGTATCTTTAATTTGGTACTAGGTTGTGTCTTTATATCAGTATAAGAAATAGCTGGTTTCTGTCTTAGATCTAAAGGTTGTGTGTGCAACTTCAGCGGGAAGCCCTGCCCTCCTCACCCTGGTCCTCTCCCAGCTGCGGTTCTGAGCGCTTGCTCCTCTGGAGTGGACACTCCGCCCGAAACTCCAGCTCTTGTCCGGAAAAGTCTTGCTCCTTTTCTGTTTTGCCTCCTCCTCTCTCTTCCTAGATCCTCTTACTCAAACCCAGTCAAACGTACATTTTTTTTCTATGTTACTTTCAGACCTCTGTACCGATCTAAAATTTTTCTGCCGTAACAATTTTAATTTCCAAGAGTTTCCTTATTCTCTGCCTCGGGAAAGGCGCAGACAGGGCCTTTGTGCCTGAAGGGCTTCGGGTCCTCCCTGCCACTGCTCAGCCGTGTGTGCTCGGCAGGAGCCCTCCCCTCCCAAACAGCTGTCCTGTTAACCCAGCAGCTCCTGCTTTCCTGCGGAGACGGCATGTGCATTTCCTGAGGTTTTCTTTGGGGTTCGCATTCTTGGCCTCTTCCTCTTCTTTTTCGTCTTTGCTCCGTGTTGACTCCAAATCAGAGGTAGTAGGACTGGGCAGCATGCGCGCGCTCACACACACACACACTCACTCACTCACGCCCTGCTTGGCCTGGGAGCGGCCCTGCCCTTCGCGGCTTTCTGGGGCTCCTGGCCCCAGGTGCGGAGGCTGCAGGGGCCAAGTCACACGCAGATTTCTCGCCGACTAAACCTGTCCACACCTCGTACCTGCCACCGACTCCCCTCCTGTTCCTTTCTCCCTGTGCCTTTGTTGTTCCTTCAGTGTCATTTTGGGAGGACACCGAGACAGACGTGTGTTCAGTGCTGGTGATTTAACCAAAACCTAAGCCTCTCCTGCAGACAGTTAAGTTAGAAAAGACTGCCCTGCACATCCGTAGCCGCTCGTGAGGCACACGCCAGCCCAGCGCCCACGGCTCTTCGTGAAGAGACTCGGAACCGTGACGGTCACGGTGCCCGGCCAGGGCGCAGGCCTGAAAATACGCTGGAGTCCTCATGATGGGGCCGCCCTCTGTCACGACTGGAGTGGGGACACGTGCGCCCTCGCATGTGATTGTGTCGAAGTCTCTCGCACACGCGCACACACATACACGGCAAGCAGGAGGCCTGAGTGAGCCCCTTGCGTGTAGCCGCGTGACGCCTGTAGGGGACTCGGTGAAGGACGCGTGGGATCTCTTACGGTTTCTCACAGCCGCATAGGAGCCTTCCTTGTCGTCCGTCACGTTTCTCATCACAGCCCCAGCTAAGCCAGGCGTGGTGGTGCACACCCACAGTCACCGCTGCTTAGGAGGCTGGCACAGGAGGCTTCCAAATTCAAGTCGGGCCTGGGCAATTTAACAAGATCCTGTCTCAAAAGCTGAGAACAGCTGGGAGCGTAACTCCGTGGTGAGCTTTCACCTGCCATGTTCAAGCCCCAGTTTTTGTTTTTTGGGTTTTTTTTTTTTTTTCCAGTTAAAAAAGACATCCCAGCTGGGCAACGTGTTACAAGCCTGTTATCCCTGCACTCAGGAGACTGAGGCAGGAGGATCAAGTTCAAGGCCAGTGTGGGCTACATAGTGAGTTCAAGGCCAGTCTGAACGATATAGCAAGACCCTATGTGCAAAAAACAAGACCAGTCCCTACAGCCAGCCCGTCAGCTGTGTCACAGTAGTGCTCGCTTTGTGGAAAGAACACAAGCGCTCTGCGGTGGGCCGCAGCTTGTTGCCTGTGAGCTAAGAATGGCTTTTACATTGGGAGCGCCGTAAGAAAAGCAGAAGAGTATTTTGTGGCACATGAAAATTATATGAGGCTCCGATTTCAGCATCCTTCATTAAAGTTTTATTAGAGCACAGCACGCTCACTTGTTGCTGTGGGCAGAACCCGGTCTCAGCCCTCCAAACCCCAACACCAAGAGCAGCAGGGCCGAGCAGTCCCAGCAGTAGCAGCCCTCACGCCCCAAATGTCCCTTCTCCCTGTCACAGCGGTGTGACGACCTTGCTCCAAAGCCTGTGGTGAAACATGCGGGTAGCAGAAAGGTGGGTACTTCACAAGGTCTGCAGTTTGGACCCGACGGCGGAGGCTCCTTAGAGGGAGAAGCATGGCTTAATCACTGTTTAGTGGACTGGATATCAACCTGCAGAGACTGGGAAGTTACCGGGAAAGTGTGACCCCTTGACATATCCAGCAGTAGATTTCTGCTTATCTCCTGCTTTATGTTTTTGGTTCTGTGTTAGAATTGAAAGTCACCTTCACTGCTCCCAAACTCAGAGTCCATCCGGTACCAGCCTGCGGCCGTGGAGTGCGGGTGAAGGAAGGCTTACCGCAGCCCGCCTCTCTGGCGCAGGGAAAGGAAGCCCATCCCTCCTAGTGCAGTGACTGGCCCATTTTCCAAAGGTCACTTCCCTGAGATGGGAGAGCAGGAGGCAGCGTTGCAAGCCCCTCTGACGTAAAGAAATGTCTTTGTCCACCCAGAAGGACTTGGCCCGTCACCTCTGGGACGGCTTATTTCGCCGAGTGGCACCTGGGCCTAGCGCTCCTGCTCACCCCCGCAGTGCCGCCTGGTCTTCTCCGGTAGGCCTCGGTCGGCACCAGGGCCTGGCAAATCTGCAGTCCCTGGCTCGTTGGAGTTTTTAGTTACGGTGTCCTTGTTTAGGGGAGAAACAGCAGTTGGAAAATAAGGGCTGGGTGGCGGTTTTAAACTTCCACAGGCTCCTGCATGCTCGGGTGAGTCGGGTGATTGTCAGTGTGGCCTTAACACAAGCACTTACCACTTACAATTTTTTACTGGGAAAGGAAATAAAACCGAAACAGTAGAAGCTTTAGCCGATACAATTCGACACATAGTAAGAGACTAAAATAAGGCCCATGGTAGATTGCCTTTCCCCAAAGAGCCGCAGGAAGTCTGCCAGGATTGAGGAGCTGGAGGCTGCCAGCTGTGGCATACCCCGGAAGAAAGCAGTTTCTACCAGGCGACCGCTCTGACGACACCCTACGGAGCCGCCAGGGGGCGCTGCGGGCCTCGGGTCCGCCCTGGTCGCTGCTCAATGCTGCATTCATTTTGAGTGTCCCCAGGATCGCCTTCTACTAGGGATTCCTTGCCATTCTTCAAATTCAGATATTGCGGGGGGATGTAAAATAATGAAAACTGTGTCATCTTTTTAAAAGATGCATCAGTGAACACTGCTTTTATGCTGTCAACTTATAGAGTGGCTTATTAAGATTGACTTCAAAAATTAAATATTTTCTTTAAAAAATTTATTTCTTAAAACACATATTTAGATACATTTTTTAAATGATATTGATGCCAGGGATTTAACTCAGCGGCCCAGCACCTGCCTGGCAAGCGCAAAGCTGTGAGTTCGATTGCCGATACAAAAAAAAAGTAAAATGATACTGATGATTTGAGCAGGAACAGCACACACAGGACTGGGGGTGTGCCTCTGGCGTGGAGTGCTCCCCTCGCAGAAGCGTCGTTTCTGGCTCGGGTTCGCGGAATCCCCGCAGTTCAGCCGCGCTGTCTGTCTCTAGCCCCGCTCCTGTGGTTCCGTACGGGGTGCTGCAGGACGGACCACACCAGAACGCAGTGCCTGGCAGCAGCACGTCGAAGCTGTGGTCCAGGTGGATTGGGCCCCGCTGGGCTTCGCCTCGTGTTCCTGATTGGCAGCTGGTGGGCGGATGTGGAGGGTGGCTCTGCTCAAGTCTCCCCCTCCACAGCCGGTCCCGCAGCAGAGGACCTGCATCTTCCTCTACCTCATGTTCTAGCCTGGGCTCCCCCACCTCACAGGCCACCCTTAAGTTTAGTATGTGGCCCAGGCTGGCCTTGAACTTTCGATCCCATAGTGCTGGGATTACAGGCGTGCACCACAATACCGGGACAGCGTAATGTTTAAGTCTCCCATTTCTTCATAGCTTATTTTGCCAGTGCTTCATCTTTGAGGGCTTAAAGAGCTTTAGGGTGGTTTTGTGACATCATTGTTTGCAGAGAAATGTGTCATTCACGTAGCCAGCGTGTAGGTGGCCTTGCGCACCCAGCGGTCCTGTTTGGTCTCTGAGGACCAAATCGCTTCAGTGTCACCTACACAGACCCTGTCCTTGGCTCGTTGTCCCCTGCAGACGTGCGGGCTGCGCAGCTGCTCGGCCTGCGCGGTGACATCGGTGCCCTGTGGTTTCCTGACGGCCTCAGCTTGGGGACCACGAAGTCAGATGCCCGGCTCGACGGAGGCCCCTCTTGCTGCAAGAACGCAGCATTGCCTTCCACTCCACAGCCACCACCCCTGCCTGCTGACTGCTTGTTTTTCTGCCCCAGGGAACCATCAGCGTCGGAGTAGACGCCACTGACCTTTTTGATCGCTACGACGAGGAGTATGAGGACGTATCTGGAAGTGGCTTTCCGCAGATTGAAATTAATAAAATGCACATATCCCAGTCCATCGAGGTAAAGCACACAGGCCCCTCCCCGAGTGCGTGGGGGCCTACCTTAAGGAGGCGCAGCAGCCCGCGGGGCTGGGATGAGTCTGCTCCTGTTCTCGTCTTCATTTATGAAAGGATCCAATTAGCCACTTAAGAGAGATAGAGCTCGTGCTCCAGGCACTGCCCCAGGGCCCAGCCCTCGCCCTCTGGGAGGAGTTCATGGCCGGGCGGAGTGGAGGCCGAGGTCCCGGTGTTGGAAGGAGGAAGGACGACCACCATGGGTCATCCGGGAGGCAGCGCTGGCCACGGCAGGCCTGCATGCTGAGCCCTGTTGTCCCTGAAATGTCACCTTTCCACCCGCTGCTTCAGGTGGCAAGGTCAGGCCTTCTGGCTTCAGCAACCCCTGCCTCGTTCCCTCACTAAGCCTGTCAGCCTGCAGCAGTGTCCTCGTCCTCTCTCAGAGCTGCCCGAGTCTGGTCATCCAGCCCTGGAAGTCCTCAGTCCCTGCCAGGCCCTGGGTTGAACAAGGGCTGGCGAGGCCTGGAATCCCAGGGCGGGAGGCACACAGCGGAGGGGCTGTGCTCTTCCTGCCTTGGGTACACTTAGTCCCCGTCTCCCTGTGGGTGTGCGACAGGTTCCCCTAAAGCTCCTATAAGATGTGGCACTGCCATGGCAGGTCACACCCGCAGTTCCGATAACCAGCTGTGCGGGGCCGGGCAGCTGGGACGTCGAGTCCCCGTGTCTCTGTCCTCTGCGCACGGCCGGCACGCTGCGCGTCTCCAGGCGGCACTTCTGGTCTCGTCCATTTCTCACCAGAAACGTCTCCTCCTAGGCCCCCTTGACAGCCACGGACACGGCCATCCTCTCGGGAAGCCTCTCCACCCAGAACGGCAATGGAGGGGGCTCCATCAACTTCGCGCTCCGCCGAGTGACCTCTGCGAAGGGCTGGGGCGAGGTGAGGCGGGTGGGCTCTGTGGGGTCGTCCCCCTCGGACCCTCACAGCATCACCGTGGAAGCAGTCGGTGCCAGGTGGCAGGCTTCGGACGCTGACTGGCCCCAGAGGAAATGCGTCTCTTGTCCAAGAGAAAGTCGTGCCCATATGCCCAGTAGTTCCCAGTTAGGATGCCAAGCCAGGCGTGGTGACGCAGGCCTGTAACCCCGGCATGTAATTCCGGAGTCTGAGGCAGTAGGACTGCAAGTTTGAGCCTGGCCTGGGCATCTTACACTCTGACTCAAAATAAGTAATTTTCAGAAGAGCTTGGGATATACCTCACTGTTAAGGCCCTGGTTCAATCCCCAATACGAAAAAGAAAGGTGAAGGTGTGCCCAGCTCAGTAGGCACGGGGCCGCCAGCTCTGCCTGCCGAGCACAGGGAGCTGCGTGTAATGAATACTGACAGGCTGCCTTGAATGTCACCCCCCACAAAAAAAGGAAGTCACCTAAGCTGCTCCATGAGGCGGCCAAAGGACTGCAGTGCCAGGGCCCGCGTGTAGAGCTGCTGATAGGCCCCATCGCTGTCGCCCGTGGGACCTTCGGGCAGAACATGGGGCACAGTGCAGGACATGGGCAGCGTGGGGCCTGCAGGTGGCGGCCAGGAGAGGCGCGAAGAGCCCATCGTTGCTTGGCCCAGGCTGGGGAGCGGAGGTCCCGGTGGGCTGGTGTGCTGCGGGGGGGCGCCTCTGTGCAGCCCCAGGCCAAGGCACCAAGAGGTTCAAAGTCTGCCTCCACGTACAGCCCTGGCAGGGGTAGCCGAAGGGATTCCGACCACAGCTGGGTCAGAGCCCCGAGGTTAACGACTGTTAATCCCGGGCGCGGTGGCACGCGCCTGTCACTCGAGCCCAGCCTGTGGCACCTAGTGGGACTGTGTTACTAAAGCAAAACAGCAGGCTTCTCAGCAGTACAGCAAGTAACTTGCCAAATACATGCACATCTTCTATAGGTGTGTTACATAGACTTTTGTATGCGTATATATTTGTGATTCGTATAGGCTGGGGATACAACTTAGTGGGAAAGCCCTGGGTTCAAACCCCAGTACCAGAAAGAACAGAAACCATTAATGCTTCCTCTTTCTCTCTCTCTGCCTCTCAAACAGTTGGAATTTGGAGCTGGCGACCTCCAGGGCCCATTGTTTGGTCTCAAGCTGTTCCGTAATCTCACCCCCAGATGGTAAACACAAGAGCTGTTCCTCCTGGCCAGGCCGGTAGACAGGAGACAAGAGCCTGTGTCGTGCCCGCGGTCGCTTGGGCACAGCGTCCTGAGGTTACTGCACTCCGTGGGCGCGGGCCCGGCCCAGCCTGGATGTGCACCGGAGGAGCGGGGTGGGAAGGGGCCCTGCTCTGGCCTGGCCAGCCTTCGCCCCCGTGCTGAGAACTCTCATGTTCCTGAGGACCACGGATGATGGAGGAGGGGCCTTCAAGGGGACGTAGTGCTTGGGGTGTCCCCCCCGCCACTTCCCATCCATCACTCCCCGAAACACGGCGTTGCCCTGCTTTCCTCTGCTGGGCAGACAGCTGCGGGCATTGCGGGCACAGCCCGTGGCAAAGTGAAAGCTGATGCCCTCCTGGGGGCTGTGTCCACGCTGTTCCGGGGCCTGCAGCCGGGAGGTGGGAGGACACAAGCGCAGTGAGGGGACAGGTAATGGGCAGGAGGCCCCGGGAGCTTCTGCGGACTGGCAGAGGCGTGGCTTGGACAGTGCTGGCATGGTCCCCAGGGCACCCGTGGCCCTGTCTGCCAGGAGCCTGGCTCACAGGTCTGAGCAGGGTCAGGGGCTGGTGTGTTCACGTCAGTGTGGTCCTGGCCTCTTCTGCGTGGGGTGCAGCCGGGTACTGCGAGAGCTGAGATCGCCCTCCAGGCCAGGCGGGGCCCAGGAGTCTCACATCAGCACCCGGGTGAGGAGCTGCGGCCCTGAGGAGGGCATCAGGCCACGAGTCCCATGCATGGTCACCAGTGGTCCAGGGCTGGCTGGTCATCAGCACTTACAGGTCTGGAAGTGGAGTTTTGTTCAGTGCCCAGAGGCTATCAGGCGTCAGAATCTAGATTCATAAACGGTGGCGGGTTATAAACAGAGCTGCCAGCTCATTAAGGGACAGTGACCAGACTAGTTATGGCCACTATGCAGGTTTCCCTCGCCCGAAGGTCAGGTTGTTTGCAAGTCCAGGCTGCAGTTAAAGGTCGCTTGTGTGAAGCTGGGTACAGTGCTGGCACCTGTCGTCCCAGCTACTCTGGAGCCTGAGACAGGGTCCCGAGTTCCAAGCCTGCCTCGGTGGCATAGTGAGACTCCGTGTCTTCCGTGCTCGCCCCTGCAGCCCAGCGAGGTTAGAGTGTGAGCCCGGTCACAGTGCGGGTGGGGCTGTGGTGAGGGAGAAGCTACTAGCAGGGAGTAGAGGGGTGAGACGACTGACACGAGTCACTACCTACCTGGTGTAATGGCACATGCCTGTGATTCCAGCACCCTAGAGGCGGAGGCAGGAGGACCACTGAGTTCCAGGCCAGCCTGTACTTAGCTAGGCACTGTCTCAAAGAAAGAGAACAAGCTGAGCATGGTGGCACATGCCTGTAATCCCAGCACTCAGGAGGCTGAGGCAAGAGAATCTCCATGAGTTCGAGGCCAGCCTGGGCTACACAGTTCAAAGCCAGCCTGCACTGCAGAGCAAAACCTGTCCCAAAAAGACAAAAAAAAGAACAAAGAAAAGGGGAAAAAGGAATCACCACACTAATTGTTTGAATGGCAAAGCTTTACCTCCAGAGGTTAGAAAAGAGAAAAGGCATGCGAGGTGGTGACACATGCCTATAATCTGGTTCAACCCCAGCCTGGGGGACTTAGCGAGACCCTGCCTCAAAGTTTAAAACATAATTTTAAAGTGGCTGCAGATGTAACTCAGTAGAGAAGCCCTGGGTTCAATCCTCAGTATTGAAGGGGGAAAAGAAGAGAAGCAGCAGCAGAACAAGCTGATGTGGTCAGTGCTGTCAACGTTCAGTGAAGGGCCGCGTCCCTGGTGGGGAAGTGAAATACCCCTTGCAGCCAGAAGATGGCGCTGCAGGCCCTCGGAAGCGCACCTTGGATCCTTTTGCTGGGCTCCTTAGCGCAAGCCATGGCCTTAAGTCAGGATCCTGTGGGCAGCTTTTCACAATATCCCGAAGCCGGCACCCCAGCTGGAAGTTCTGATTTAATTGCCCTGGGGCTTCTGGAGGCAAGTGGGTCTCACACTGCATAATGTAGGCTTTTCACATGCCAACCCCGTCCAGGAGAAATCTGGATCCTTGGCTTAGCTGACAGCCAGCCGGCAGTGGCTTTGGGTCAGCGGGGCAGTGCCAGTTTTCGGCCAAGCTCTGGGGCTCCTGGGCTGCACTGTTTGAGAGCCTCGCCCAGTGCCTGGGACTCAAAGCAGGATCACACTGTCAGCTTAGGAGCACAGCGTCCTGCCAGGGTGGGACAGGGTAGGGTTCGCCCCACTGCCGCAGTGTTCCACAGCCTCCTGTCCTGGCTGGGAGCTGGCCCGGGGGCTCATGGGCATGGTCCTGAGCAGGGTGTTCACCCCGGCAGAGGGCACTCACAGAACAGCTGGAAGCAGATGTCTTCAGACCCTTTCTGTGTCCCCCCAGCTTCGTGACGACAAACTGTGCCCTGCAGTTTTCCTCCCGTGGAATCCGGCCCGGCCTGACCACGGTCCTGGCCCGGAACCTGGACAAGAACACGGTGGGCTACCTGCAGTGGCGGTGGGGCATCCAGTCAGCCATGAACACCAGCATCGTGCGCGACACCAAGACCAGCCACTTCACGGTGGCCCTGCAGGTGAGCGGAGGGGCCCGGAGCACCCCCGTCCTGGTTGCCCTGCGCCGGCCTGAGCCCCGGGCCGTGGGCCAGCTCTGCACGCTCGGGGGTGAAGGGGGCTGAACGGCTGCTTCTCAGACCCACGAGTCCATGTTCGGTTCACCTAGAAGCAGAATGGCGTCTTTACATCTGTTCAGGAGGCCCACGGAGTGGGGGTCTGGTCGGCAGGTGGAGTCCCAGGGCAGAAGGGGGCAGCTGGTGCAGCACTGCCAGGAGCTGGCGGGGCAGAGGCACCCAGAGCGGCGGCCCCACCACCTCGCTGCATGGGCGCCCCCGTGTCCAAGTCCCTGCTGCTTGAGAAGCTAGAAGACGGTTTTATGTGGCACCCCAGTGTGGTTTTTGTTTTTAACCGAGGCTCCCCTTTCTGCCTTTTTTCACTACACATTTGCCACGCCTCGTGAATACCTCCGTCACGGGGGAGCTGGTGCACAAAACACCTCGCACGCGAGCTCGCGCAAGTGCACACGTCCGCGCAGCGCTGGTGTCACTGGGGCCCTCAGAACCCGGCCTGAGCCGCCGCTGCTGGCTACAAGGAGCTGTTCACGTGCCTGGCCCAACCGCCAGGCTCCAGGGCTGTGCCCAGTGGGCTCCCAGAGCCGTGGGGAGCTACAGGGCCCTGGTCCTGTCCCCCTGTCTCTGCAGCTGGGGATCCCCCACTCCTTCGCGCTGATCAGCTATCAGCACAAGTTCCAGGACGACGATCAGACGCGCGTGAAAGGCTCCCTTAAGTAAGTCGCCCTGCGGGCTGGTGGGTTGCAGGCGCAGTGGGCTCAGGCTCCGGGGCGGTGGCCGGCGGGACTCTGCACAGACTGACCTCTGCTCCACAGGGCGGGCTTCTTCGGGACAGTGGTGGAGTACGGCGCGGAGAGGAAGATCTCCAGGCACAGCGTCCTGGGTGCGGCCGTCAGCATCGGAGTCCCGCAGGGCGTCTCTCTCAAGGTCAAGTAAGTCAGACCCGGCTGCTCCGGCCAGGCTCCCCAGGCGTGGTGCGCTCGCCTGGTGTGCAGGTCAGGTCCTAGAGGGCCCTGTGCTTCTGTCTCCACTGCCTAAGCAGAGGTCAGAGAGTGCCGAAGTCCGAAGTGAGCTGGGGAGGCCTTGGTCCGGCCGCCTCTCCGCTGGCACTGGGTGACCCCCTGGAGGCCGGGCAGCTCCTGCTCGCCCCCACAGCACCACCGGGAGCACCCGAAGCCTCAGCTTCCCCTCTGCAGATGGCTCTGCCATGCAGCGTTGCCCTCCAGCGCCCTGGCGAAGGCTTCTCTCAGCCATCAGAGGCACCCTCGCCCTGGCAGTCCACCTGCCTCACAGCCTCCCTGCGCCAGTCCCGGGATCCCAGGGCACTTGGCACGGCTCTGGGCTTTCCTGCCAGCACGCTGGCTCCCAGACTCCCACTGCCAGAGGCACCTCCTCTCCTGGGCTCCCTCCGAGGGGCCTCCTAGCCTCATGACCTCAGTGCCTTCAGGCGCTGCTCTCTCACCCCGAGAGCCAGCCAGACCTGTCCTGAACCCCTACTCATGTGCAGACCTGGGCCCCACAGCTGCAGGTCAGGCAGGTCCACGGAAAATGCTTGGAGCCAGGTGCAGCAGCTCATCAAGTGGTGTTGCTGCAATCCCAGCCCCAGGGAGGCTGAAGCAGGAGGATCACGAGTTCCAAACTACATAGCAGGACCCTGTCTCACAGGGACAAAACAGCTGCGCTTGGTGGCACAGGCCTGCAGCCCAGCACTAGGGAGGCCAAGGCCAAGGACTGCAAGTTTGAGTCCCTTTTGGGCAACTCAAGACCCTGCCACAAAATAAAGGAGAAAAGGGCTGGGGCGCGGCCGTCCCCTGTGCCGCCAGAGAGAAGGGGCAGTGCTTAAAGGAAAACGGCACTGTACTGAGCACGCACAGGCTGCTTGCTTAGCGCCGTCCCCTGACCAGGACAGAGCGCATCTGTCACATCTAGAGCTGACTGGGGCCGGGTTGTGTGTGTGGGTTCCGTGCACCACGGACCCGGTGCCCCGCGTTCTCCAGGGGGCCTGCTGTGCCCAGCCTGCTTCCCAGATCTCAGCTCGGGTGGCCAGCAGCACCTCGGATGTCCCTCGTCACGTGTCCAGGACAGCCTGGGTTCCCGCTCACCTCAGTGAAGAGCGCTCCGGCCCCCAGCAGCTCGCCCACACCTCGACGTGGTCCTGTCGGCCCTGCACACCTGACGTGAACTGACACGCCTCAGCGTCCCCGTGTCAGCTCGGAAAGGGTGGCCGGGGTTGGCTTGCTCCTCTCGGCCTCTCTGCCGCCCATCCCTCATCTCAGAGGCTGCGGCGCCCCTTAACTGATCTCCTTCGCCCCAGGTCGTCGTTCTCCGTGCAGGCAGAGGGCCCTTCAGGCCACCCAGCGCCTGTCACTCTTCTGCTCAAAACGCCAGTCCTGGGCCTAGGGCTGGGGCCCAGCGTGAGCCCCGGCTCAGATCCCCCAGCGACTGCAGTCCAGGGCAAAGACCGCGGTCCTCACTGCCCCGCCCCCGCCCCAACCCCCCATGTCCCCGAGGCGCCGCCGGCGCCCTCCAGTCCAGACCAGCAGGTGGCTGCTTCCTGTGGTGGCCTCGGGCTTCTGCTCACAGGTCACCAATCACAGAACCGCCCTGCCCCTGTGCCCCGGGGGAACAGCAGCTGGGGGAGAGGGCGCGAGGGCCGCCTCGAGTGAGCAGAGCTCGCCAGGCTCGGAGCTGACGTCAGCCATCTGTCCTCTCTGAGGCCCGGGGACACCCGAGACGTAACAGGGCCAGTGGAGCTGTTGGTTTCTGCAGTCACTCTCCAACCCCCTTCCTAAATCCGACTTGGGGCCCTGGGGTCGGGCGTGACAGGCCCAGACCCCGTGTGCGGGCTCTGCCGCACTCCTGACCGGGTATCGTCGGGAGTGACTCCCTCTCCCCAGCAGGAGCCGCGTGCAGCTGAGTTCTCTGCAGCCGTGCGGCTTCTCCGCGCTTCTGCTAGAGCAGTGAACGGCCCTTTCCTGAGTGCTCGGGACTGGTCCAGGGCTCGGCTCACTTGCGCGCTCGGAACCAGAGGCTTGGAGTGGGGCCCAGTCCAGGCCTTTGGGTCTCATGCACCCGACGCACAGCCGCGAAGTAACCTCACACGCATTTCTAGTGTGCCTGCGCCTTTCCTGCCACCTGTGTTAGGGTCAGGTGAACTTCTACTGGGGCCATTACATTGGTGCACAGAAGTTTGAGGCTTTGAAACAGTCTGGGTTTGCAGAGGAGGGCTGCTCCACCTGCGCCAGCCCGAGTTCAGCCGGAAAGCACCAGAGGTCAGCAAGAGCAGGCAGTCGCTCTTCTCAGACTTCCTGCCTACATTTCATTCGATAAATCACACGAAGTGTTCAGTGTTAAACCAACACTACAGCCACCCGGATGCTGAGCAGGAGGATTACAAGTTCAAGCCCAGCCCAAGCAATTTAGTGACTAAGCAAGACTCTGTCTTCAAATTAAGAAAATAAAAAGGTGCCAGGCTTGGTGGTGCACACCTGTAATCCCCACACTCAGGATTGCTGAGTTTGAGTCCAACCTGGACTACATCCTGAGTTCGAGGCCAGCCTGAACTACCCAACCTGACCTTGTCTTAGAAAACCAAACTAATAAAAAAGAACTGCTGGGCTCGTGGCTCACACATGCTCCACCCAGCGTAATCCCAGAGGTGAGAGGCTGACAAGGTCAAGGCATGAGCAGCTTGGAGAGACCCTGTCACAGCATAAAATTTTAAAAGGGCTGGAGATGTAGCTCAGTGCTAGCATCCTCGCCAAGCAAGCATAAGGCCTCGGAGTCAATCCCTGGTACCACAAAAAATAAGTAAAACAGGGCTGTGGGGGTGGGACTTTGTGACTGCACGCTCAGTGTGCACAAGGCCCTGGGTTCAAGCTCCAGCATAAGAAAAACGAAGGGGCTGGGGGTTTAGCTCAGCAGCAAAAGCGCCTGCCTGGCAAGCACAAGGTCGTGAGTTCGGTTCCCGGTACCGGAGAAAAAACAAAAAAAAAAAAGAAAAACGAAAAAACCATGGGAGGCTGAGGCAGGAAGATTGTTGGGAGTT